AAGTTACTTCATTAAAATTTAAAAACATAATTTAAATTTAAAAGGGAGATCTGTTTAAACTTATAATTTCTGACTTTAAATGTAAAATTATCTTCCTTTCAAATAGAAACATAGTTTTAATTAAACATAGTTTTAAAGTAACAAAACATCATCTTGGTAACATATTTTCTGTGTCTGCCTGCTAATGATAATCAGGTGCTACAGGCTACCCAACCTCATCAAATACTGAAGTACTTGAATTGTAAAAGTAAAGGAATGTCACTTGAGTGTGAGCCTAGAATCCATGTGGCACAGTTTGTTAATTTCAAGAGTCTGGGTAGGATTAAAATAGAAGTGAAAGAGAAGATGGAGAATCCAGGATGATTTCCAGCCACAGAAGGTTTCAGTGCTGCTGAATTTGCTGGTTTTGGAGGCAGAAATTTTATTCTGGTTTTTTCCTCCTCCAACTTTGTAAAAGAATTTCCTATTTTGAAGGAGAATTTTCTTCTGAATTTCTCCTTTTTTGTTTTGTTCACTCTGCTCTTCCCTTTGTGATTGTAATTTCTCATTTAATCCAAGAACTTTGATTAGCAGCTTCTCCTGGAATGCCTAGCAGCAATAACAGAACTCCTGTTTGACTTCAGAGTTTAAAGTTATATTTATCTTTCCCTTCCATCTAATTTAGGGAAAGAAAACCCAGCTTTCCTGAAGACCTGTTAAATGCAACTCTGCCAGGTGCTTCATTTTTACTGGTGGCAGAATGAGGGGGCGCATTAGGGAAACTAAGCCGAGCAGAGGTTCAAAGTCATGGCTGTCAGAGTCCCAGCCTTCAGCTATCCTCTGGCTAAGCAAGATTTGGAACTGTGGAACATATTTTACAGCAGCACTCAGAATGTAGGTGTTGGGCACACATTCTTATATTATATAAGTTGTTTTATAATTATCTCAATAATGAAGTCAGCTGGGCATTTTTAAAAACATGGCAATTATGAACTTCAGTGTATATTTTTGTAGTAAAGTGACCTTTGGGGCATAAATAGCATTTATCTAGAAGGCTTCTGTCACCTGTGCTGTTGTTTTAACTGCTAGATTTGGGCAACTCAGGTGCCTCATTATTTTAGTGGCCAAAAGCTACTTCTGTCTCCTGGGTCTCCCTACGGTGAAAGTGATGGTGTTTCTCACTTTCGTCTCTAGTGTTGCATTTAGTATGTCTAGTCTCTACTGCCACAGCTGTAAAATTCTTAGGTTTAGCAACAGTGTTTATCAGTGAATAACAGAATAAGCCCTTAGGGCTTAGGGTAGTATCTTTGAATGAACAAATAACTGTATTCACAAGAAGTTCTAACAAGAGAAAAATAAGTTAGTCAAGTTAAAGATGCTATTTTATTTTATACCCTAGAATTTAATCATAACCATTCTCATCTAATAATAGATCTTCAACAGATAGATTAGCAAATGGAGGTCTAAATCAGTGAAGGACTTAGAGTGGCTTAATGTGAGCACTTTTGCTTTGAAAATGATTAAAACCTAGCCTTATATTATTGGCTTCCTGCACCATAGCAGCAAAAAAGTCTGGTCTTGGTATTGCCAGGACCAGTGAAAATACACTTGGAGTACCTTGCCAATAATCTCCAACCTTTGTGATTGCCAAAGAGTCATGACTATAGAGAGAGTGTTTTTTTCCTTCCTATTTGAATTTACTAGGGTTTTATAGAATTTGAAAGCATTGCAATTTCTAGGGCTGCCTGGAAAAATCCTAGGTCAAGAGAAAGTAGTAAGTATAAAGACTCTGGCCTCCTGCATTCAGATTTCAGCTTCTCAGTTTGCTAACTGTGACTGTGGCAAGTTACTAAACTTCTGTGCCTCCATGTTCTCATTTGTAAGTTACATTATGTAATTAGTCATGGTTATGTCATAATTATCAAGAGAAATGAGTTAGTTCATTTGTTTTGAGGGGTTTTTGGGAACCTTGGAAAGGACCAATAAATGATAGCTGTTATGATGATCATAGAATATTAAATACCTCAAAGCCACCTTTATTCAATCAGGATTGTACTTTTATTGGCAAGGGGAATATTCGCTGAAATTCTTCCTGAGATTTCATCATGAAGATGATCTTGAAGGTAATAATAGTTCAGTGGGCTTTGGGAGATTTGGATATATATGAGTCCCTCCCAGGTGGGAAGAAATGAAGAGTCACTGCAGTATTCTGGCCAGAAGGCTCCAGGTGTCTTTCCAGTATAACTGCAGTGTCACATTCTCCCCGGGGAGAAGTGAGGCATCTAGTTTAGTGGTTATTTAGATTCAGCCCATTGAAGGCCTGAGACAGCAGGCCAAGGAGTTTGGGTTGGGAGCCTATAAGTGCTAAATTCCCTTTTGGCAGCAAGACAGAGAGGAAGGGGTAGGGAGGGATGGGATCAAGGCAGGGAAACTGTTGAGTTAGTAGGCATAAAGAGGAAGGAATGGGACGTAGAACTGATAAGATTTTGAAATTTTGGGGCAAGGATGTGGGTACCATTAACAAGCATGGTGAGTACCATTAACAGAAACAGGAGGTTCTGGAGAAAGGTGAGTTTGGGAGTGGAAGGCTATGCTTCAGTCAGTGTGTGGTACAGTTAAGAAAACCCAGGAGGAGCCCCGTTCTCCCATAGAGAGCTAAGGTGAATAGTTCCAATATTTGAGGAAAATTGGATGAATCATTTCTGTGTGTGATAATGTGGATTATATAACAATATATGTAGTTACTTGAAACTGGGTCTATAGATTCACAAGAGACTTTGCTTTCTATAGAGACATTTAAGACAGAAGCCATAAAATGCTGGGTATAGAATTCAGTTCTGCTGGTGTGTGAGTCACAGGTGAGTTGCTCAGAGCCCCCTGCCTTCCCTCGGGCTTTCTGGGTGCTGGGCTGCTCATGCCACAGGAAGAACTCCTGTTTCCTTTTTGCTCACCACACACTGATGAGGAGCCACCCTCCCATTGACTCCTTTTGCAGAGAATGAGGCCCAAACTTTGAAATTGAAGAACTGTATTATAAAATCTAAATATTTTTTTACCACAAATTTAGAAGACAGAGGCACTAAAGACACAACTTTAAATTTCAAAAATTCTAAGAGCAAAATGTTTTATAACCCTTCATTTTTGTATGTGGCTTTCAATGGGTATAAAAATACTCTGTGGGTATGTGGGTGGCTTCTCATGTTTTGGAAAACGGTGAGAATATGAGATGCTGAGCTTTGGATTCTGGGATGAGAGCTATAATTACAAACTCTGATTCTTTCCGAGGGTTGACTCATGGTGGGTATCTGGTATCTAGAAACTCAAGAAGCCAGCTGCAACCACTCCCTGCAGTAATGAAAGGAAACGTTGTGATGGCGAGGAGAGGGAATGTGAGGTGCTGCTTTCCAAACCTGGTCTCCTTTTTTCCCCATCATGCTGTCCACACTTATGGGGCAGCAGAAGTGAGAGCTGGTGTCCGATGGTTTCCCTGAGCCCTATGCTTGCAGCCATCCTGCAGCTGTGATGGAAACAATTCTAAATATAACTGGGACTCATTTTAGGTCCTCCCCCAAGTCTTGGCGGATGTGGTGAACACCCTAAAAATACTTGCTGTCAGAACCTTTGAGGTATCTGAAGAGGAAGGAGCAGGTACAGTGTTGGGCTGGACCACGCCCAGTGCTATTGGGAGACTTGTTGGGTTGTTCTTGAATCTGTATGATGGGTTGAGCATGCTGCCCCATTCAAGGATAAGTGCCTGTTCTTGAGTCTCTTGTTGCTGCTGGCAGGTTTCAAGGCAACTATTCATAGACCAGACATCTGTTCTCTGTCCCCTTGAACTCAAAGGCACAGCTGCTACTGTAGTACTCAAGCAGTGTGGTGGGTTTTAGTCGTATTTCAGAATCATAAAGTTACAGCTGGTATGGACTATCAAAAAGCCATTAAAGTCACTATATTAAATGGAGCCACATTTCTGTACTATATAGTACTGCAGAAATTTGAAAATAGAACTTCAATCTTTGAGTATTAAAGGTAATCACTCTTAAAATTATACCATATAAAAATAGAAGGATAATGAAAACTAGTCGTTAGCATTATTAGCTAAATGATTACATACAAAGCCTTTTCTTTTTTATTTAAAAATTGGCACTGTGAAGCTCACTCAAGCTTTGGTATTCTGAACGTGAAGTTCATTGGTGACACAGCCAGAATACTAGGAATCTTCAAGGAAAAGACTTTAAATATCTCCTTTCTGGAATTGTGAACCATAATCAAGATATTGTGATCTAAGGACCCTAGGTAAGCCCTGTTTCCCAGGAAAGAGAGCATTCATAGATTGTCTTTAATGCCCATGAAATGCACTTAAAGTGCAAAAGTAGTCAACATTATCTCAACCAAAATGTGAAGTTGCCCAGCTTTCATCTGCAAGTTGCCTTCCCCAGTCTCTGAGCATGTTCTAAGAGGTCCTGAAAAGCACAACCTGTGTGAGGACTACAGAAAGCTGCCCTTTTGAGTCTCTCCTAGAAAAAGTACAGGAGACTGAGCTAGTTTGGTGCTGAAAAGATTTGGTTATGCTCCATTATGGTTGTTACAACATTGCCTTAGTTGAAACCTGCTTATATTCTCCTCTTTGAGCTTCTCAAACAAAGCTCCTTTGTGCATTTAGAAGAATATTTAATTAGCAGTTAAAAATAAATTGAAAGTTTTGAATGAATGATGGAAATATCAAAATGTTTGGAGGTTTTGTTTGTGTCACTTACTGCATATTTCAAATAGCCACTTTTAGAAGTGCCTATTTCCTGGGATCAGAAAGCTAGAAGCAAAGCCCCTGGGACATGGTCTGTCTGAAAGAGAGACTAGTTTTATAGAGAGAATGTGGCTTTGGAAATGCTAGCACCCTCAGTTACGAGGAAGCTGAGAAGCTTCAGGCACCAGAGGATCTCTTTCTGGGCATGACAGACAGGACAGGAGGAAAACACAGCACCATTCATGACCTCTCAGACATTTCTTCTCTGCAATTCCAGAATGAAGAGCTTCGAAACTTGTCCCTTTCTGGCCATGTTGGATTTGACAGTCTGCCTGACCAGCTGGTCAACAAGTCTACGTCTCAAGGATTCTGTTTCAACATCCTGTGTGTCGGTAAGTGACACATCACCCACTGCCCTGAGAGGCCCCACCCTTAGGTGCTGCTGGTATGTGACAGTGGAGCAAGCTTCCAGGAAAATGACACTTTTGTTTCCCTACGTCTTCAGGAGAGCAAAGCAATAACGCTTGCTGTTCTTATATCACACTGTTGTAAAGAGTGAGGGATTCATTTGGGTATTATGTATGTTTCGTGATATTGTTCAAACCATTTTTATTTCTGTCACATAGTCGAGCAACTGGCTGGTTTAATATTGCTATTAAAACATTTATTTTAATTTTTGGTAGGGAGAGGGACTTGGACCCTAAGTAGGTATAGAAAGTTGAAAGAAGGAACTGTTATGCCTATAGTAAAAATATTCAAAGGCCTTCTAAGAATCTGTTTCTAGCATTTCTGACTGAGTACCATATAGTAAACTCTCCTGGAGTCTTTTCAAAGATACATTATCTCTAGTAAAATCCAACACTACTCTGACTTCCTTTTGCTGTGGTCACCTAGTTCCTTCCTTCCTCCCTTTTCATGGTGCAAAGATGAAAACCAGGAACATTTACTGGGAGCTGTATCACCAGCCCTTTTAATTTTTTTTTTAAGACAGGGTCTCGCTGAGTAGCCCAGGAAGGCCTCAAACTTGGCTCCTCCTTACCTCAGTGTTGAGCAATTGAAATTATATACGTGTGCCATTGTGTCCAGCTCGCTTAACTACTTTAATACACTTACAGTTTTAAAACTTAGTTGCTTTTAGGGCAGAAATCAGTGTAAAATTCTGTTTTATATCTGAAATGAATTTTGTGCTTCAGTAATGAAATTAGCCTTTAGTCCTTAAGTTGGTATCTAAAATTGATGTTAGTTCATTCCAATTCCGGGTAGACGCGTGGGAAAGTCCAGAGACCTGACTTGCATCCTCAGTACCCTTTACTCATACATATTGTATTTTATACTTTAGCTTAGGCTTCCAGCTTTAGGATTTTTCGTTCTCTTTTTAAATTAGAAGAAGGTTTAAAAGAAGTAGGAAAATAAGAAAATCAAAATGGATCCCATTTGTTAGTTTGGAGAAGAAATGTCCCTGGAGCAGACAATAGCTGTTCCTTTCCTCCTGTCACACTTGATAGTAACCAGACTAAACAGCACTGAAATGGTTTGGGCTAGGTTGTTTTGCTATCATAATCTTTTGCATAACCTTTGAGACGGACCAAAGCAGATCTGTGTGTGGCCAAGTGACTACCCTCCCTCTAAACTTGGAAGAATGTATGCCAGGTATGGCGGTGCACTCCTGTAATCTCGGCACTCAGGCTGAGGCAGGAGGATTGCTACAAGTTCAGGGCCAGCCTAGGCTACATAGTTAGTTGAAGGCCAGCCTAAACTATATAGTGGGACCTTGTTTTAGGAGAAAAAAACAAAAACAAAAACTTGGAAGGATGTATTATACTCCTTGCGCAAATAATATGCATTGAGTTTAGAAAGGGTGTGTATTTACCGTGAGAAGAGCTGTGGCTTATTTGTTAGTAGTGGTATTTGGGGGAAACAGATTTTGTTTTTTAAAATAACTTCATTGGTTTTGGTTTTGGTTTTTTTTGGCAGTGCTGGCAATTGGACTCAGCGTCTTGTATGTGTTAAGTACTCAACCACTGAGCTATGTCCTTTTTAAGATTTATTTTGAGATGATCTCAGTAATTGCTCTTACTGACCTTGAACTTTCAATTCTCCTGTCTCAGCCTCCTGAGTAGCTGGGATTATATGTATGCACCACCATCCAAAGTTTCTTGAGGGATTTATTGCACATGGGCTGTGTGTGCTTGGGTGTTGTGAAAGCCTGTCATGTAGAAAGTTGCTTTGGCTGGCATACTGGACAGGCTTACTGTATGGTATTGTGTCTTAAGCACTGAGTAAGAAAGTGACTGGAGAGGAGCAGCCAACTCATGCTTTCCCTTCCCCCTGCCTCTTACAATTCAGCAGACTTTCTACATGCTCACTGCAGAGCGGGCAGCTCTTCACAAGCATAGCAATTTGTTGGCAATTTGTTGGCTTTCTATTGAAAGTATGTTAATTTTAATCTAGGCCAGCTACTATTCTGGCTTCTTTTCCTGCCCTTCTCAGCCCAGTCTCCAAGATCAGCTTTATGAGCCTACCTGAGAGCTACTTGGCCCCTGTGTAGGAGTGCATGGCCTTCCGAGGGCAGTGTGTGTGTGTGTGTGTGTGTGTGTGGGTGTGGGTGTGGGTGTGGTGCTATGTGGGCCCCGAGGTGCACAGGCTGGTGCAGGTGGGGACTTCTCACAGGCCATGTGAGAAGGCTTGCCCTACTGGATCTGTAGAGTAGCCTTAATCTTGACCTCCAGGGTGGGTGATGATAACCCATGATTTTTACATATTCTGCTTTCCTTCTTAAACACATTTAAGGCTAGTTGTTTCAAAGTGATTAACATAGTATATCTTTACTTTTTGCAATTTTCATCTCCCACTTGCATCCCATTCTGCAGAGATGACATTGGGATCCTTCTAGGAGTACTGTAAAGGTCAGTAATAAACTATGCCAGTGACTGATAGTCCTGCTAATCTGTTTTGTTCCAGCTGTGTAATAGAGATTGATATGGCTATGCAGGGCCCAGTCCCTTTCAGGACCTTCCAGGGGAAAACATAATCCGGTACTTTTCCAGCTTCCATTGCTGCCTGCATGCAGTTCTTGGCTCTTGGGTGTCTCTCCTCATCTCTAAAACCAGCTACACAGTATCTCTCTGCCTCTTTTTATAAACTCAAGACTTTTGCACTGAGCTCTCCAGCTCCATCTGGTTTTTAAAATTTTTGAGACAGGATCTTGCTGATTTGCCCAGCCTAGGCTCAAACTTGTGATCCTCCTGCCTTAGCTTCTTGGAATGCTGGGATTATAGGCATGTGCCACCACATTGTTCCTGTGTTTTTAAAATTTTAAGAAAATTGCAGCATTCCAGTTTAAACTCAGTTAAGACTTTCCCCCACCACCCAAAACACAGTCAGAAGATAATGTATTAAGTTAGGAAATTAAGAACTAGATCCAAGGGTCAGTGAGCTATCAGGACACCACTGTCCCTGGTTCTTGGTCCTCCTTGCTTCTACTAGGCCAACATTTGGGCTTTTCCCTCCCACCATTCCAATACATCTCACTTGAACCCTGAGGATTTCTGTAGTTCACAAGGAGGGGTCACAAATCCAACCTGGCTGGGAGATGGGATCCCTTTACTCCAAAACACAATGGGTTCCCCATAGGAAAGTCACGTTGTCAGAAAGGGGATTGGGCACTGGCTAGACATACCCTGGACAGATAAAACCAGCTCTCATGATTCCACGGGTGCTTTTTCACAATTGCATTCATACTATTTATATTCTTTTCTCTTTTTCACTTCACAATATGTATTGGATATCCTTGCATGCCCTCATAGTTAATTCTGTGGGTTCTTTTCCATAACTGACCGGAACCTGCCATAGTTTGACTTTGGTTGACCGTGCCTCCTGAGAGTTCATGTGCTGGGCGCTTGGTCCCAAGTGTGGCAGTATTGAGATTGTGGAACCTTTAGAATGTGAGGTCTACTGAGAAGTCATAGGTCATTGGGTTAATAGTCTCAGGAGCAATTAAGGTAGTTCTTATAGATGCCTTGAGTCAGTTCTTTTGAAAGTGTGTGATAAAAGAAGTTTGGAGCCAGGAAACACAATGCATGCTTGTAGTCCCAGCTGCTTGGAAGGTTGAAGCAGGAAAATTATAAGTTCAATGCCACCCTAGGAAATTTAGCAAGAAAGACCCTGTCTCAGAAAATAAAAAGGGCTGGGGATGTAGTTTAGTAGTAGAGTTCTTGCATAGCATGTGTGAACTGCTGGGTTCCGTCACCAGTACACTCTAAAGCTCAGCAGTCTGGCTGAGTAGTCTTCCTTCCATATGTGCTGCCACCACTGTGATGCCAACCACCAGAAATCTCCTGAGCCAAACGAATGTTGGCCATGCCCTGAACTTCCAGAACTGTAGCTGAATAGCTCTCTTCTTCATAAAGTCACCCAATCTCAAGACATTTCACTGTAGTAACAGAAAATGAATTAATAGAGAGCCCTTTGATCAGAGCTGGCAGTAGTTCTTTGGGAGATGGAGGTGTAGCATTAACTGATCTTCAGAGGGTGGAGCTGATTAAAGTATTTTAAATTATTTTAAATATTTAAAAAATATTTTAAATTTTAAGATATGTAAAATATTTCCACAAATAAAAATAGCTGCATAAGAAAAAATATCCACCGTCAATCATTGATTTTTTTTTTTTAAATCTATAAAAAGTGTTTTAGCTGATCAAAACATTGGGGCAGTCACATAAGAGGAAGGTATGATATTTGACTTCTAAGTACCCTTGGTGATTTCGTTCTTCCTTGTCACAGTATGCACGTGTTGATGGTATAGCATTACTTTATTTTCATGTGATAAATGTGGGAAATGTGGGAGAGAATCAAGGTTTGAAAAAGAGGTATACTCTCCCATTAAGGGTTTTTAAAAATCACAACAGCTAAAAAGAGCCTATTTTTGTTTTGCGGCAACAGCTTAAAAAGCAGAGGATACTAGGGCATAACCTGGTCTTGGCGTGAACTTCAGTCTGTTTCCGAGACACTGAATTCAGTTTCTGCTATTAGAACACCTCTCTGTTGAGTCTGGGGAGTAACTGTAGAAGAGAGAGGGAGGAATAGTGTGCATTTGCCCAGAAAGAAGATGGAAATGCTAAATGCGCTGACAGGACACCCTGGGGTGCCAGTTCCTGCAGCCTCTGTCTTGCTCACAACACATTGTCAGTCTCCAAACTGTACTTCACTTTCAGTAAAGCTTTTTATGTTTTACTCAAAAATCTAAATTAGACTTCAGCTTCCGTATTTCGCTATCTTCTCGTTCATCTTCTGAAATGACACTGAGAAGTGCATACGGCAGTGATCTAGCTGTGTAGTGGTTCTTCTTAAAGATATAGAAGTGAATAAGATACTGTATATCCCTGTTTTTGGA